AGCCGCGTAAAGATTATGCAATTGATCGGCCTTACAAAGTGGGTCAATAATTTTGTCGTATACGCGTCGCATCGATTTGCGATAAGTTCGATCGCTCGTAACGAGCGTCCGCCTTTTAAGGATAGTTGTTAGGTATAAACTTCCTTTAGAGAAAAGATGCTTTAGAGTACAGCATAAAACGCCAATCTTGTGTCGACAGTTTTGAAGCATCAAAGAAAATATACTCAATTTCTGTCGTATTGGAAAATTGTGATATGTGCTTATGCGGTTAAAAGATTCTTTGACAGTCTTTTACATCACTCAACATTTTAATTGTTAATATATTTTTGTTTTATTAATCAATTATTACTTTATATAGAATTGCATATTTCTTTATCAAATAAGCTGGGAAGACTTTGAAGCTATTAAAGTATTACATGGAAAAATTAGTATATGTTCTTTTCCAAGCCACTCCATCAAAAAGTGATCTAAGCACGTTAAAAGTGTGAGAAGCCAATTTATTAATTAAACGCTGGAATATTCACATTAGCTAATTGTCACATGTTTCGATATGAAGCCGTATCTATCTATCAAGCATCTGGCAAGATTGCGATTACTCCAGTCAATAAGTAAAATGACTTTGCTCATCGCGACATAGTCGAGCAATTCAATCTGGCTTGCGCTTCATTGACAGCAGCAGGCCTCTGACCTAATTCTTGCGACCGTGAACGTGTGAACGTGTTATTACACATGAGCATCAATGTCATTGCTATAGAAGCACACACAGCGAAAGAGTGCATGATAATTCTTTAATTACAAGCACTTGGCTTTTTCGCACTTTTAACGCGCTTAGATTATTTTTTTTATGACACAGCTTGGAAAAATAAAACATACTAGTTTGCCTATGTTTCTTAAAACTTTAACAGTTTTAAAGTCTTTCCAATTTATTTAACAAACGCGCAATATGAATCTTATTAGACTAGAAAGTATTCAATCATAATAATTATTAAAATACAAGCAATGCGTTTATAATTTATACGTACGTATATTTTATGCGTAGAATAATTTGATTATTGTATAAAATATCTTATAAATTGTCTTCAATACTTTAAAGTTAAGTCTTCATAAAAATTATCGAGGCGATTGTTTTTCTAAAAAAAAAAAACTAAGTTATGGACTGTAATCAACAATGATATCACGAGTGTAATATCACGAGACTTAGAAAAAATCTAAAAAACTATCAGTTTGTAAACTCTAATAATCCATATAAGTTCCAACATCATTCACGTGTGATAAAGGCGAGATTATCTTGTAAATAAATCAATACTTTGCTCCTGTTTCGCACAGAAAAATTCTGATCTACAATCATGATGCGAGATATATAATCTTGATAAATTCCTTTGCAATTCTCATTAACCGTAATATTTGCAATTTCGTATTATTTTTCATAATGGATTATTTGTTGTACAGAATATTTTCAGTGAAAGTCATACATTTCTTTTTTCCATATATAAGTATAACTCATCAATATATCTTACACATTTTGAAATATTGATCGACAAAAATTGTTTTTCAAGATGTCAGAAAAGTTCAATTTTTCGAATGTGATTAATTTCATCAAGTTTGCGAAAGAGAAGTGCGACTCAGATTTCCTTTGTGGTTTCGGGATGCATAAATTTCACTTCCGACGTGATCTAAACACGTGCTGCTCACACGTGGAATTGTGACTCTTGTATAATTTTTAATTTAAAAGATACTCTATGCCTTTTTAAAAGAGCTTGAAGTTTAAGATCGTACGATGTGCTAAGGAGGTATTTTTACATGGTTTCGTATCGCACCCTTTTCCTACACTTCTCCTTTGCCGTCTGCTTCTATATAAGGGCCACAGACGCACTCTTTCATCTCTCGGAACTTGATATAAGATAACCATTGCTTCTTGATCGCGTTGTTGATTTGGATTATTTGTACAACGCTTTCTACGAGATAACATCGTCGCAGATTATATTGTCGGCGTTTAAAAATTTCATGTTTACTTGCGAACGTTTATGTTAAAGTCCCACCTGGATCTTGTTATTTCTAGTATGTGAAGCATTTAATCTCTTTTTCAGAAATATGGCTTTTTAATTGATTGCGATAAATTAAATTATTCAAAGTTTGTAAAAATAAAAAAAAAACAGAAAATTTATAGACCAATTAAATTAGAATTAATAGTTTGTGACATGCAGTTACTGATAAATTATATAAAACAAATTTATTGGTTCTTTTTGAATTTGTGCTCGATTTGACTTATTAGTGTGCAATATATTTATAATATCAGTTATTCTTGGTAGGGGTCTGACCATGATATTGATAAGATAAACAGTTATCCGGTGATATTATGTGTCAACAAAATTGTCAACATGTGAATTTGTAACGCGAATTCTTTTCTATCGATGTCACGAATTATTATTACTTTTACAACTATTTTTACTGCAAGGTTAAAGTATTTTTATGACAAAACGGTAATCATAGTATGATGAATATCTGTTTTTAAGAAAAATATTTAAGATTATTTATCAATTATATTAAAGATTAAATATAATCACATCTTATTAGTCTGCTTTATATCTTCGTGCAAATAAACAATGCCATAAAATATTTTCGATGATAAAATATCAAATCAAGTATCAAATATTTAATTACGCAAAGTTAAACGATGTCTGCGAGGTGAAATTTACACCACGTTGTCGTCTCGTCCACTTTTCGTCGTGCTTTATGCATGAAAAATCGCTCCAAAATGTCGCGTGACTTTGGCGCGTATGCTAAAATCCCTCGCATGTCACTCTTTTAACGTTAATGAAATTATCGTGCGCTTACTTAATGCCTAAATATAGAAGCGATCGCGTTCCACATTGTAACGACGATGGCCGCAGTATCGCGTCCTGTGCTCTTTAAAGAGAATGCCTTGATATCATCGAGGAATGTGCAACTATGCGGAACACGGACAAAAGTAAACGACCGCACGTAGACTGTATATATATAACCAAGTCGTCTAGCATTTTTTTCTTCTAAAATTAAAATCTTGAATTGTATCAAATAACAAAATCTTTTATTTATAATAATTCTTAAAATTAATGCAGAGATCTAACGAAGATATTTAGCTTTACACCATAAAATATTTTTGCGAAATTGATTGCAAATTTTTTAGTATATTAGAAAAGAAATTCTCATTAATATTACTGAAACCGTTGAGATTGTGTGTGTGTGTGCGAAATGGCTCAATATGTACGTATAAGTTTCGAGTGAACAAGTTGGATGCAGATTAATTCCCTGGCAATGGTCTGAGTGACGTCTCAGGTGAAAGTAGATACCGTGAGCATGAGAATACCTGGCACAAGATTCGTGGCATAGCATTGTCCACTTTACTGCGTCCACTTCGTCATTTGTATGTAACGTTCGATACATTGTAATAATCTGTTAACAATTACACTGCTGTAAAACAATAATGAAAAGAAGACGGTATAAAGTAATTTTAAATAAGAACTATGTAAGAACACAGCTTAGAATGCACAAATTCGGCCGCGACAAATTATTTTCCACAGAATACTAGAATCATTTGGGAGTGCGAAGAATCGACGTCATATAATTTCAATAATTCGAGTAATAATCTCTGTTAGAAAAATGCTTGAAACGTGTCTCTTGTATGCAATACATCTGTACACAGGCATTCATTTATACTTTTTATGGGCGATAGTGTTTTCAGAGAAAACAAATCGCGGAAATAGTTTCGGGCTGGCATCGAATCGCTTTACAGTGACGCACCGAAAATCTGAAACTGCATCCGCTGTAAAAACACTTTCGCGGGAATACCAGACACCAGACCCGACAGTATATTATTATAATTAAACGCGCCCATCATGATGCAAAATATGCAAGATATTCATGCAGCATATCACGATTAATTCGATATTGATTTTATCTTGATCAAATTGTCGAAAAGTGATGTATATGCGGCAAATTAGAAATAATTATATATACATCTTGAAGGCTTTCTAAAAATGAAATTTTAAAGATGTAAAACAGATAAAATTGTATTTTTTATTTTATTATAAAATTGGCTTTGATGGAGAATTTTAATATAATTAAAATTCGATGATTGAGATATGTTGAAAATTAAGGTTTAATTTAGAAAAGAAAAGATCAAATTTTTACTAAGCAGAAAACAACTCGAAACTTTTAGATGAAAGGAACATGATAGGTGCAGGATACCTTCTATACGGTCCCTCGAAGTGCATCACGAACCGAGACACCGTATATCTAACGGAATATGCATACTGCAGGAAGATGAATGCCGAGGGTCCATGCTTGGAAACCTTTCCTTTTTAGGCAATCGCACATATAGGCAGGTAACCATTCGCTTGGAGTTTGCTAGAAGTTATCGATTCTCCCTCTTATATGAGATATTCAATTGTCATTATTAAAATTAACAACAGATTTTTTAGCAAATAGGTCCCTCGATATATAAAAACAAGTCTGATATGAACAATAAATTTAGTAATAACATAATAATAATTTAATCATAATAACCATAATACATTATTGAAAAATTTTTTTAAACATGACACTAATAGTCTTTATATTTGTATTACTAAAAATGTTTACATTTTTAACATTAAAAATATTATAATATTATAAAAATATTATAAAAATATTACAAAGGAAAAATTATGATTTTTATGTAGCTCTTTGTTCCCTGTCGTGTTCCCTGAATACTTATATTCACGGTCAAAGATGCACGAGTTACATTGAAAGAACAACGAACTGGTGTTGTGATGGATTAGGTCACTGACTCTGGCAATGCTCATGTCGCAGTCCCTACAGGATGTGTTACTTGGTACATTAGAACATCGCATAATTAATAAGCGGCTCTCCACATAACATCAAAGCCCTGACCTGCGACCGAGAAAACTCGGAAACATAATAGCATTGCTCATTGCGTATTATTTTTAAGAGAATAACGTGTAAATTCATTGATGTTACAGATCAATAGCAAATACAGCGAGGAGCTGGCGCAGGAATGTCTGGAATGGATCAAAACAATCACCGGCGAAAACATAAATACCAACGGGGACATGGATAATTTTTATGAGACTCTGAAGAATGGCACCTTGCTGTGCAGGTATCAGATGTTAAAAAACTGTCGAAAAAATCGATTTAAGAATGCTGAAAATACAACGAAGTAAAAATATTTTCGATAATCATATTTCTCCTCTGTGTTTTCCTAGGCTGGTGAATGATATCAAAGAGGGTTCGGTAAAGAAAATTAACAACACAACGTTGGCCTTTAAATGCATGGAGAATATAAATGCTTTTCTCGAGGCTGCAAGGGCATTAGGTGTTCCGGCGCAGGAGACCTTCCAAACCGTAGATCTCTGGGAAAGACAGAATCTAAATTCTGTTGTTATTTGCTTACAATCTCTTGGAAGAAAGGTACAATATCGTTTCACAAATATGAATGTACCGAGTGGCTAAAAATTCAATATATTGACTCTATTAATTCTTAATAATGTCTCGGAAATGTCGATTCAAATATATTATAAGGATTGTATTTTTGCAGGCGGGTAATTATGGCAAACCAAGCATCGGTCCTAAGGAGGCGGATAAGAATGTACGCAATTTCACGGAAGAGCAGTTGAGAGCTGGGCAGGGCGTAATAAGCTTACAATACGGCAGTAATAAGGGTGCTAATCAAAGCGGTATCAATTTTGGAAACACCAGACACATGTAAACATTTATTTCCGCATTCATGCCGGGAAGGCAAAATCGCTCTATTTTCATCTGTCCTGACTTTGTTTCCGCAACAAGTACTCTTCTTTAGATATAGCATACTGCATAATAAATGTTCATCGAGGTCCAAAATAAAAAATATATTGAATGGTGCATAAAATATCCCCTATGCGCAATAGGGGCTAAGAAATATAAGTATGAGATTTTCCAAATAAAAGTGACAAAAGATATAATTTAAAGAAAACGCGATTGAATTTTTGGATGCATAAAGGGATTTTTCATTGCAGTAGTTATTTTATTTTTAATCTAAATATTTTTTTAGAGAAGTTTTCCGCCATTTTTCAACAATCTGCAATTTAAATTTATCGAATTTATTTTTCTGTCGTTTAAATTTTTGAAAACTTTTACTGCTAGACTGTGCATCCAAAGGTTGAATGAATCATATTTAGGTTTTGTGTTAATGCAAATTATTTAATTTACTTTTTCATTATCTTATGTCACTTCTATTTCGAATCTAATGATTCAGAATCGATGTCAATATGATGTCATATTTACCGTACATCTATGACGTAAGCATGATAAAGTAAGTACTCTGAGAAGTACATAACATTTTATTTCCTATTAGCCTGGTTATGTGACAACTTAAAGTGAATCTTTTTATACGTGTATAGCACGTATACTAATGAGTAAACTGTCGTATTTCACAATTTACAACGCGACTGTGTAGCTCTCAGGATAAAAAATACATAAACATTCTTATATGTTATAAAAGAACAAAGGTGATTAGCATTAAGCTTGGACAATTGCTATATTTGTTAAATATTATCAAGTTATACGTGAAAGTCTCGGTTTTTAATTAACTGTGCTGTTGTCACCGCAGTTAAACATTTTTCAAATTCAATCTGTCTTATAAATTCATGTTACACGTGAGATAATTATTAAAATTATTATATGATGAATGATATATGATTATATATTAAGTATTTTGTACAAATATATATTGATGGTTAGAAGAAATAATTTTTCATGAGTTAATAAACAATGCATCAATAAGTGATTTTTGCATTAAATGTTACTTATGATGAAACACAATTATGCTGTATTTTTAATTACTCTATCCTAAATTGCAATTGATATTCTTTCAGAATAATATATTACATGTTTAAGTTTTTCAAAATATTTTATTTTAAAACATATACAATGTAACACTACCAACAAAAAGAAATATAGCCTCTAATTTCAGTTATTTATCTATTAAAAGGATAATAATCCAACCCACTATTATGTTTAAATTCGTATTTATTCCTGTTCTGCTTCTGTGCCATTTTCATCATTTCCTGGACGCTAGGCCTATATAAATAAAATAAAACATTGAGATATAAGTTATATAATAAGTCATGAAAAATAAGACTGCAAACCATACCTATATGCCGGTGGTAACATCTCTTTATGGAACGTACATTCTTTTTTGATTGGTTCATTTTGTTTGTATATCTTTAGTCTAACAATATCAACATCTCTATTGCATTCATCAAAAATTTTCTCTAATTGATTTGGAGGTGCATCAAAACATATGAGAAAATGACTGAAAGTATAAGATAAAGTTTGCTTATGTATATATATTTTTTTACCTTTGCTTGGATATATAATAATAAAAACTAATTTATTTCAATTTAATACAAAATTAGTTTCTTAAATCAACATTATTGATATAAGTATAATCTTACTTTGCTTCTCTGTGGACATGTTGATGTGACTTAATTTTGCATGGAAGCTGTTTCAGTCCCCAATTTTCCATTTTTCTGATAAAACCACCAGTATTAAATATTGTTTCGGCTGTTCTTTTCAAAGTTGCCACCAATTCTGGCTGCAAAGTATCAAATTCTCTTGTTGATTATTTTAGATTTTAGATCATAAGAATACATCAACACAGATCTTTTTGTGACAGAAATGTCACAGAAAGATTTGATGTTATTTTTATAAAATAATAACTTAAATTACATATTAAATTATCGTACCGCTTTATTATTATACAAAATAAAACATAACCTAATACATTGTAAGATAATACCTTCTTTATGATGCGTATCATCAGGGGCATTTCGTATGTCGGCATGTTTGTTTATCCAGATACAATTTCCTAATTTAATATAATAATAATATAACTTTATTATATATCTTAACTAATTAACTTTTTTTAATCCACAGTATACCACAGACAACACTTGTAAATATCTAAAATAGACCATGAGAATGTAAACTTATAGATGCGCAAACATAAGTTTGTGTAGTGTGATATAGCATTACTATAGAAAATTTTATATCCAATAGAAGAGGTTATTTTCTAGAAGCAAACATGTCATCAGCTAAAATCTCTAGAAGGCACATTTTCCTATTGGATATCAAAATGTTTATAGGCAATGATTATCTGTGGTGAAACGAACAAAATTATAATTAGTAGCCGTCTATGAGTAATCTTATAGTCTATGGATTCATTGTGACACAGAAAGCAAGCAGAAGGCAAGTAGAAGGCAAGTGTCGATTGGTGTCGATTGGTGTCGATTGTAGAAGCATGATACTTTTTTTAATTCGTATATATAGTAAGTATATAAGTATTGATCGAATGATAAAAATCTACGGCATTAAACATTATTGTAACTGCAATTTTTTTAGATATTTTTCAATTGTAATACATTTTTTTCAGTGCTATATTACCAATAGCAAGTGGTATATTGTAAGATACGTATTCTAGAAAAGTACTGTATCGTCTTTATAGCTTTATATTTTTTAAAATGGCAACAGAATTGCTAAATGACAAGAGTTATGAGACGAGAGAAAACGTTCGTCGTCAATTTTATAAGAATCGAATCACGAAAGATAATATTAAGTTGGAACTTGACGAAAACGAATCTCAAGATAAGAGACGTAAACTCTTGTTGGAATATCAGAAAAAGTATGTATAAAATTGTACAATTTAAAAAATTACTCTATTGTTAAATTTATATTTTTGTATGTAAAAAGAAATATATTAATAGATGTTATTAAATCAATGTGTGAAAATATGTTATTAGTGAATACTTTATAAAACTACAGTAGTAAAATAAGGATTAATGAAGGTCAATAAAATTTAATTTGTTTTAACGGTTGAAATAAAAGTTCAAAGTAGATTGTAGACTTTTTGTGCAAAAATTTGTAGAAAATTTAGAATTGTTATAACTAATATACTACAATTCATATTTTTATTTTCTTCTACTATTGTAATCTTATATCAAAAAAGATTTCTTCCTTTCCTCATAAAAATGATATTTATAGACATAGAGAAGAAGCACTAAATGCTGCACGTGGTATATTGCAAGACATATATTTTTCTGAATTGGAAGATGAGGAGTATATGGATACGGAAGAGCATTCTTCATCCTCTAAATTACAATATAGATCCAAAATAAATCGAATGATGATGTCAGAATGGATGCTAGATGTACCGCAAGACTTTTCGGAGAATTGGATTATGGTTCCATGCCCAGTAGGAAAACGAGTTAGACTGGTTTCAGGCAGGGTACTAATTTATTTTGTCATATTTATTTAATATTATGTTTAACAAACATTGATTTCAAATAAAGAATAATACTAATAATTTTGCAGGGTAAAACAAGGGCATATTCTAGAACAGGCGTGTTTGTTGCAGTTTTCTCTTCAGCTCTTCCAGGTGGAAATTATAATGCTAACATGCGCCATTCTGCTATTATAGATGCCATATGGATAAAGGAACGAAAAGTTTATTATGTATTAGACGTGTTGTACTGGAATAACTTGCCTTTTTACATATTGTGAGGTATGTGTTACTAATGTATTTTGGAAGTTTATATGAAATATTTTATTTTATCAACAGCTTGATTTGATAAATCTTTTATTTTAGGCTGAGTTTAGACTATATTGGATCAATAGCAAACTCTCTGAGACAAAAGAATTTGAAATACATGATTCTGATATAAATAAATATCCTATGTTATCTTTACCAAAAATCAGCTGTGATTTAAATTTAAGTTCAGTTTTGACAGATCTTGCTCCTGAACTACATTCATTAGATGGATTTTATTTTATCATCGCAATGCACAATATATTTTTGGGATTACTCCACTTGTGATATGGCTGAAACCTTATATGTTATCTGAAGCACTTGGGATATTTGTACCTTCACCATTTGACAATAAACCAGATAAATACGTAAATTTTCAACATCACGTTGAAAGTGTAAATAAAAAGCGGAAAAAAGGAAAAATTGTCATAAATATTGTAAGTTTATATATTATTGTAATGAATGTTGATTTATTTCTTTTGCTTGATTAATATTTTCTTTTTTAAATTTTACAGATGGAAGTAGAAGAAATGTAAGATAAGAACGCATTTGAAATATCATAATGATCTCAAATATGGACTATTTTTACTACGCAATGTACGTGTACAGTAAAATGTATAAATATATTTTTTTTAACGTAAAGAAAAATAAATTTGATTATATAAATATATAAGATTTTATTTGAAGGTAAATACATATTTAAGATAAATTGGTAGTTGTTTCTTTCTATAAAAATTGAAATAATATAGTATTCTTTTTGTTGATAAGTGTTTTTTTTTAATTAAAAAATGGTGATTGTGTTGTGTAATTAATGTAGTAATTATAATAACTATCTAAATTGCATATTTGTCATGTAATTAAGAATATATGAATAATTTGGAAGCATTCATATATCATCAATGTGTGATGTGTGGAATCTATCCAAAGCTTTCTCATTTAGGTACAGTAATATCTGATCCATAATTTCTTCATTCTTTATTTTTATCTAAAAAGACAAAATATGCATGTATAATAGATTACAAATGTATATATTAAATGTATTCTGAACTGTAAATGATTTTAATGTAAGACAAAAAGAAGAGATAGTAAACATAAAAACAATATACAAACTTACTTTATTTTCCATTATTGTTATTCCAGGCAGATTGATTCTACGCAATGTACATAATCCCAACTGTAATTCTGCTGTGTTTAACATTTGTGAATATAAAATTTCATAAAACATTTCTATATGTTGACGATCCAAAGATGTATCATTTTGATCCCTCGTAGTGCTGTAAATATCAATATAAGATGCACATTACAAATCATTTTGAATATTTTTATATAATTAAATGTTATTAATATTATACATACTCTAATATTTTTTTTAAAGCTAAAATATCCCATTTAACAGTTATAGTATCTGTTATAGTATTAGTAATAGTATCTGTCATAGTATCAATTATATATCTGTAACTGGTAATTTTGGTACTATATATTCCATTTGAACTTCACCAGACTGCTTCTTTTTTGCCGTCATAATCACAATTGGAATAAACCAGCGTAAATCTTCCTCGTCAACTGATAGTGTAGTTATCAAACAGTCAAACATATAACTAATAATAGTATGCACTGCATCTATACAACTACGTGTACCACGACACAATAGAAGAGGTAATTTTATGGAGTTTTGTATGTTTGATTTAACCCGTTTGATGTTCCAGGATAATAAATATCCTTTATAAATGACTTTTTCTGCACCTTCTTCGTGATTACTGTCCTTGGCAAGAACTTGAATCTAAAACATATTTCCAAAGAAACTCAAATTTTGTTATATTATCCAATAATGTATACATTTAAACAAGATATTTAATGAGAAAGCTAATATAATATATATAATTATTAATTAAACCTTTATTGTTGGAGTGTCTTGATTTGGTTGAGATATAATATCTTCCATAATAGAAAAGTTTGCATCATAAACCACATCTTCTCGTGACAGTGTCCTTGCAATTTCTTCTCTTAATTTTTTGGAGTATAATTTGAAATGGATATCATCATGGTGAAAATCAAACAGAATAGATACTGCATAAATGTTCCATGTTTGGTCTACTAAAGCTGTAGTTTGTTTACACCAAATTTAAAGAGTAGAAAATATATTTCTTAAATATGAATGAATATTTAGACAATAACACAGAATAGATCAAATAAAATTATTAATATACATATATTACAATCAAACTATATTTTAAGATCAAAGATAAAAAAATCTGCATTATTAATCAATTTATTTGTTATAAATATATTATATAACTTTAAATTTCTATTTTTTAGTGCATGTGCATTATACCTTCAAGTCCTAAATTTTCAATTTCTTCGTCCTCTTCTAATCTCGTAGTTATATCAAATCGTTGTCGTTGTTGCATTCGCGGTGTGCGCGGTGTGTATACATTACTAGTTCTTGGTCCAACAGCATTTTCTACTGTGTGGTTCATTTTATTAAAGAATAAAAGTTATCAAGTGTCATATATTCTAAAATGGCTTAAACCGCATTGCATGTTATTTTTCAGGAGGACGCGGTACAAAAATTAATCGTAAGTCAATAGATTTAAAAACAATTAGAGTTAGAAACTTTACTAAAGTCAAGCGCGCCAATTCGCATGGCATGAATCACTTTAATATGTGATTGATATTATGCTATGTTATCACATGTGTGAATGGTGTTTTCAGTTCATACACCTTTTATTTTCTGCAGCTGTTTGTAGCGAAAGATGATTGGCTCTCGCTTCTTGTAGCGCAACATGTGTATTTTGTCCCATGTGTGCAGGAGCTATTAATTTTACGATCTATAATTATTTTATATATATATATATATATATATATATATATATATATATATATATATATATATATATATATATTGCAATAATAATATATATTTCTATGATTATCACTTGTAAAGATGAAATATTATGAAAAATAGCTGCTAATACCAACTCTCAGTGATGCAAGAAACACAACCATAAATGTCAAAATCCGCCAATCACATTTGAGGCAGGTATCTGTCTTTTTTCTTCTCCTTTGATCACGCATAAGTTCGGGCGAGCACACTTGCACCTTTTAATCGATGCCGATGTAAACGTCGGTTGTGTTATGTTTTGTCTCCCGCGCAAAAAAGCAACAGTGCTCGAAAAGGTTAAGGACGACGTTGTGTTCTTATCTTTGGGGACGCAAGTCATATTACCCTGGATGAGCGCGTACGGGTGATTATGGCAACAATAGAGGTTTCATTCCTACCGAACGGGCCACCCGCGAAAATATTGAAATGGAAGGTACGCTCGGACACAATGGTCGCGACGGGTAGAGTGTTGTTGCTGTACCAAAATTCGACGCCAGATACGAACGAGAATGATGCCAAGGAGCCTGAGAAAAAGCTGCGAGCTACAACATTCGGCCGTGTTAAGCAAATCCTGGCCAAAGAGGGTGACATCGTTCAGCCTGGGTATGTGTTTTTCGCATAACTTTTGTTTACAGATTACATATGTAACTTGTCATTCTGTTTGATATGCAATGTCATAGAATGCATTTTATGCTAAAAAATTTGTATGAATGTTTTTGAGAAATTATAATGGTTCTTTTTAAAGATCTAACTTTTTTTAAGGAAAGTATTAAGCATCGTTCACTCTGATAATAATTAGAATGTTGCATATTTTATATAATATCAAGTAAATATATGTATATTTATTTTTTTGGGATACTAACAAGTGCTAAAAATACTAATTTTAATATTATCCAATGTTATAGGTATAAATTTTTATATATGCACAAATAAAAAATTTTGTATTTTCTAATTTACTGAAAATATATTTGAATTTTGTGATAGCTGCATAGTCCATTAGTGTTTCAGGCAAGTGATAGCTCTATTGGAAGGATGTACACACCCTACTGTTATGATAGACTTATGTGCGGAATGTGGCGCAGATTTAAGGGTACAAGAATCTGGCAAAAATGGAAATACCGCTGGAGTATCACAAGCTAGTGTGCCTATGGTACATAGTATACCAGAATTGAAAGTATGTCCAGAACTAGCTGAGAAAATTGGAAAAGAGGATGAGCAACGTCTTTTAAAAGATCGGAAGTTGGTGCTACTTGTAGATTTAGATCAAACAATTGTTCATACCACAAACGACAATATTCCACCTAATTTGAAAGTACATAGACATTTTATTGTACTTAATTTTTGGCAGTGAAAACTATCAGTATATAGGATTTATAAACATTTATCACAAAACAAGATTAATATTATACGTCAGTATTCTTTTTTCTTTTATAGGATGTTTTTCATTTTCAATTATATGGACCAAATTCTCCATGGTATCATACCAGATTAAGACCAAATACCAGGCATTTTCTCTCGGAAATGAGTCAGTTGTACGAATTACACATTTGTACTTTTGGAGCAAGGATTTATGCACACACTGTTGCATCATTGCTAGATAAAGATGGAGTTCTGTTTTCTCACAGGATACTTTCTAGAGACGAATGTTTTGATCCAGCATCAAAAACTGCAAATCTCAAGTATATAATCTTATAATTTTGTAATTTGTAAAATTATCTTTGGATATATCTTTTCGATACATAATATTACTACATTTAGAAATGGATTTTCTATTGTCATTTCAGAGCTCTGTTTCCATGCGGCGATGACTTAGTGTGTATCATAGACGATAGAGAAGATGTATGGCAAGGATGTGGAAATTTAGTTCAAGTCAAACCTTATCACTTTTTCCGTCATACAGGCGATATTAATGCACCACCAGGATTGGAAAAGAGTGACTTATTACGCTTGCCTGACCCGATGAATACAAATGAATTATGTGTAAATGATTTGCAGAATAAAGACAGTACGAATGGCGTGTCTGAATCATCAAGTGAACCCGCACAATTATCGTCAGATAATTCTTCAGAAAAAGAAATAAATCATCAAGAAGATAAAAAAGATGAGAAAACTGAAAACACAACGAACGAAACAAACGAAATAAAGAATGGAGATACCAAAGCAAGCGTTGGAAAAGATGAAGAGTCCAATGTTCAGTCTAACATTACAAATAAGGATGATAAAGAAAATAAAGAAATGCCGAAATCTGAATCTGAACTTGAACCTGATCCTGAACTTGAACTTGAACCAAAACCTGAACCTAAACCTGAACCTGAACCTGAACCTGAACCTGAACTATCTACAGAAAAGGATAGTAAACAAAAAATGCCAAAAGAGGAGAATAACATAATAGACGAAGATGATGATGATTATCTGTTATATCTGGAAGATATTCTTCGAAGAATTCATACGGAATTTTATGCTACATTGGATCAAGGCAACGGTCGAAAATCTTTGCGGGATATAATCCCACGAGTGCGTTCGCAAGTTTTGAAAGGATTATGCTTGACTTTTAGCGGTTTGATACCTACTCATCAGAAGCTTCACCAAAGCCGCGCGTATAAAGTTGCGAGAGCTTTCGGAGCAGAAGTAACTCAAGTAAGAAATTCATATTTATAATTGTCAATATATTTTGTTGTATTTCTGTAAGTAATAATGGAATTTTACCAGGATTTGACAGAGAAAACTACACACTTAGTCGCCATTAGAAAGGGTACGGCAAAAGCGAACACAGCTAGAAAAGATGCAAACATAAAGATCGTAAATCCGGAGTGGTTGTGGACGTGCGCAGAGCGCTGGGAGCACGTGGACGAACGTTTATTTCCTCTTACAACACAGGTATAAATATAATTTTGCAATGTTGAGTTAAATTATTCCGTTTTTACGATACATTGCTATTTGAAATATACATCGTTTCAACATTAATAATAAACGTAAAGTATTGTAGGCCCGCGGATCGAGAGTACCACCGCCACACTGCAGTAGTCCCGAACGTATTGAAGACATAGAAAATGACAGCGCAAGCTCTTTCGCCAATTCTATTAATCCATTAATGTCGTTCACTCAAGAAGAGATCGAATTTATGGATAAAGAAGTAGACGAAGACATGGAGGAACAAGATATAGTTTTTGAAGATGGGGAAGATATGGAAGATATGGAAGACATGGAAGATATAGAAGATATGGAAGATATGGAAGATATGGAAGACATGGAAGACATGGAAGACATGGAAGACATGGAAGACATGGAAGATATAGATGACATACAAGAGTGTGGTAGAAGGATACATCGACGAAGTTCTGATTCCGAAGATTCTATGAACGGTAAAGTTTATTATTGTGAATGATATATAATTTGCGAGATATAGTTCGGGACGGAATTCTATCTGTAATTTTATATACTGTTTAATATCACAAACATTTTAAGAATCACATGTGTGATGATATTTTATGTGTAGTGTTGTTTTACAATAAGATTGAATAATATTTCCTTCTTGTTATTTGTTGCAGATGAATTGGGTGTATCCAAAAGAAAGAAAAGAAAGATTTACAATGGCAATTCTGATAAAAGCTCTTCAGAAGATAAAGATGATAATAACGACAGTAATGATGACGATGATGATGATGATGATGATGATGATCTTGCTGCACGTTTTAGACGAGGAGGAGATTTACCTGATGATTTAGATCTAGATGATAATTCACAGGATGATTCAATAGATGATTTTGAAGAGGGGGACAATGAAGACGATCGAGAGTGGAATGCGCTAGGTGCTGCGCTTGAAAGAGAGTTCCTCTCTGAGTGACATGTTTAAATATTAGTATTCTGATTATTGGACGATAATCCAATCCATTCAGGATGTTTTGCGTTATTTATCAAGTTCGATAGAGCGAAAGCAGGGTTATTGATAATAAACATTAAATTATTTGTGTATGCTCTGATGTTTTAGTACAGAGCAAGATACTACAAACATGAAACATTTCAAGAGAGTAGACTAAAATGTTAATCTACGAGACAAAATATAAAAAAGTGAAAAATTTTCTGCATAGAACAGTTGAATAATCGCTCTATGTTAAATCTTCAAATTTTGCACATATAGTCCGGTCGCTATCTTTATATGGAAGATAAAAATAAATCACGTGATTGTTTTTTAAAAAAGCAATTCGTAAATAGCAATTATAGGATTGTGAATGATACATTATTATTAAACGTTGAGATATTTTCTCATGTAAAAAGAACATGTCAAAAACTGATTTTATCATAATATTAGAAAATAAAACTTATTTTATCTAATATTTTTAGAGCTACACTTCAATATTAATAATCGTAAATAAGTTTTTGTATCAAAATTCTAGGATGTATTAGAAAAATTGAAAATAAAAAGCTTGTAGTACACATTATCTGATATGTAATTTTTACTAAATATAATTTATTGATAATTTTTCAAATATACAATATTTTACACTGTATCTGGTTGTGGATCATTAGGATCTTCATAATACTTTAAATACATCTTCTTATGAGTGAAATCGCGTACACCTTCCAGTCTTCCTCTTTGTGGTGCTTTAGAGTAATCAAAGGCACTATCTGCTTGGCCAAACAACTTAGACGTTTCTTCTATATCTTCCCTAATTTTACAAAAGAATAAAAAAGAAACATTCAAATGTGTTCACTCTTTTCACATTAATTTGTAAATATACTCATGTATTGATTTCATTATGAAATTTTTGATACTCTACATACCTATATTGACTCATAACAACTTTCTTTCCTGTAACTGGATCTGTGACATCGCCTAAGGGATATACCACTTCGACAACCTATACATATATATAAAATTTTATTAAAATTATGAAAATTATCGAAAGATGAAATCACTATCAAATTTTAATTTTGTCTGCAATAATGACAGTATTGCAATCACAGTTACAAGATATTGTTACATAGTACAACGCATACCTCATGTGTGATCAGGCGAGTTAATTTTTCTGGTAATGTTTTTATCAAGATCACATCACCGGTTTTGCACAGCTTCTTCGGATCGTTGGCATAAACAAAGTCATGATCTTTGAAATACTATTAAACAAAATGAGAAATATAACCTTAATAGCAAGTTATCTAAACAAATGTTATTGTATGATGTAAATATTCATATTACTAACCATATGAATGTGATCATTGAAAACCAATCGTGGTATTCTCACTTTGGCAGCACTTTGTTTTGACGAAGGTATGCATGTTCCAAGAAAATATCGCAATGCGGTCTTACCCGCTACTTTTCCGGCCATCTTTAAATACTCGATCATATGTTCGTTGAGAGCAGCACCTACGTTACAAGTTTAGCTCTTTCAGCTATACTTTCTGCACTTATTATCTTTTTCTCTTTAAGGCACAAGCCAGAAAGAAAACTGAGACACATTCTGATGATGGTCTGATGATACGTTTCTTCCAGATCTTTGTTTAATATTACTATCTGCATCCATTTTTGGAATTATATGATTATATCTCTTTTTGTAACACAGCCAATAAAGGATGCTGCCGTTTAATGTACGTTTGTGCTAGAACAACAAATTATGAATAAAGAGATTCTGCCTCTGATTTTGTATAATTTATTGGAGATTTCAAACCTGATTATATAATATATTTACAATTATCGTAGAAATAAATGAAGATGTCACAAATTTTTTATTAATGTCTAAAAAGAATAGCATTAAAAATACTAGTGATATTATGGTAAAAGTAATTCCATATGTAGCATTTATAGGAATATATCAATCATATATTACAATAAGGACGTTATCAACAAAAAATTAATTTTGTGGAATTTCTTAAAAAAGCTTGATCAAAGAAGGTGCTGATATGTATATTATTTTTTTAATTATTATAAATCAGAAATATTTTATATGGTTATAAATAAATTTCCTTTTATTCGATTTATATGTTATTTAGAATATATTAATGTAGATCATGCTTGTATTTGACATTATAGATATAAAAGCAGTGGATTTATTTAATTGATTAGATTTCATATGTGGATATATGAAACAGGTATGATCTCTCTAACTACTAAATAGATTCACTTACAAGCTATACAACAGTGCTCTTGAGAGGCTAAGGAGTTCCAAGATGATAATTAATATCCAATTACTAACAGCGCAACTTTAGTTTTCTATAATGGTCGGCTCAATTAAGCGCTTTCCTTATCAACAATACAGCGAGTGTCTTATGCACTAGAAAAAAATATAAAATAATATTTATTAAAATATCTTTTCATGATGTTTCTCTAGTTTCTAAATATTATATTAAAATATTTATAAACAAAGACCAAACTATTTCGTTAACAATTAATTACCACAACGACTGTCTTAGAATTTGACTTTATATTTTAAGAATCAGTGCTTGTCAGCATTCGAGTATTATTCGTAGTACATGACGTTGTCCAAGCTGCATGAACGTACTGTAAAGTTTCCTCTAGGTTCTCGTCGAAGGTAAATTACATTTAACCCTTCGATTGCACGTTACATGCATAAGCTACTGAAGCGAACAGATCCGTACGCTGTCTTCTGTTCGGCAGACTTGCACGTGATGCACTAACGCGATTAGGAAATTATGTGATTACGTAATAGAACTTGCATGTCCTTGTATTCGATCTTTGATTTGTAATGATACTTATGCAATTATTAGACGTTTAATTTTTCTGCAATGTTAAAGAATTTTTATGAATATGTTAATAATTTTTATTATGATATTTTATATATATATATATAGAAAGTAAAGTACAATTTTGTATGTGATTTTATATGTTGATTTATATATCTTTTAAGATTTACGTATAGATATCATAAATACAATATATATTGTTTGATAAAAAAATTTATACATTTCAATAAACTTTTCCTTTCCTAAAACTTTGCATATACTATGTTGATAAAAATATAAAGAGAAATGATGATGTTATAATACAAAAACCATTTATTTAAAAAATCTATGTCTGCAATGTTACAAATTAATATTTTATAAAACTAATTATGAACCTAGATTTATTTTTATCGAAGTATGTTAATTTTTTATTAAATAGTGCAATTATATACAGTTAATGAAAAATATGCTGGCTACTAAGAAAGTAATAAAATGCAATAAAAAATATATTTTAAATGATTTGTATAAGGATGATAAAAAGATGATAAAGAATTGTATAAATATAAATTACTAAAATACATCAAAATAAATGTCTCGTAGAAAGAATTCACGAGTGACTCAGAAAGGCAAAAAAATTGCAGAAAACGTAATATATAGGCCGTTGTGCATCAAAAAGCAGATAATATGAAACATATTACTTTTACCTACCATACATTCCTTTCTATTTTATGTAATACACACACAAGTATAGGGAATCCATGGGCCCAGAATCTGCACACCCTGTTGTTATTGAGGAATGTAAAGAAGCGAGGGAATTCACGGATGATCGCTCTATGAATCCGATGGCGACCGAGCCGTCAGTCATCCAGGAAATTCCATTGTCGATGGAAAAATCGGAACCATGATATAGCTCGGTCGATGCCTCCATTATTACGATCCTGTGCCCCCAATTCTATGGATTTGCTTGGTTTTCTGCAAGCAAAGACGAAACGAAACAATAGCATTATTTTACAAACATTTGATCGCACAAATTTGACTTTTCGTTCAATGCAAACAGCAATTTGACCGCAAACATCTGGAGGGTGAGATATCGCACAAATGCAATATTGACATAACATATACACAATTACGTTTGCTCAACACAGTATACTACAAGATTGTAATTTACATATATATTTGTCGTAATCGTAATGTTGTGTATAAATTTGCTTATAAATTGTGTATGTTGTATCACAAGTACGTATATATGCAAATAATACACAAATATGCATTAGTTAGGTTATACTACCAATAAAATTTGGAGTAAACCAGGGTATACAATGTCCGATATATCGATATAAACACAAATCGAGAACATTGGCAATATTGCTAATTTACACATATATTCATGCAAGTGACGTTGCATTTTTCAGCCGCCATTTTCTAGTGAGCCGTAGTCTCGAAGGCAGACGCGGCTTACATGCACCAATCGGAGAACCGCGTATGTGTGCTACGTCAGAGCGTGTGAACCCCGTACGCCTTCTGAAATCACTGGCGCCATGACACTTGCTATTACTTACGCAGTAGCAAAGTGAGACAGTGCGCGAACGTTCTATCATTAATCGTAGATTTTACTCAGTGAAAGTTTGTGTTAGTGCTAATTTTTGTTGGAGTATCGATGGGTGAATTGGAGCAACAGGCGAACGCATTATTTATTGTAAGTATTTGCGATTAACGGCATTTCGTTGCCGGTATTATGTACCTTACCGGTATCATGAAATTTGTATCGTTCTAACATGTTCTAACACGTACAGAATTTCAATGTCAGAAGTACATGATGATACTTATATTTATACTAGAGACGCGTATTTTCGTTACGGTAGAAATCTTAACCCGTTAAAATTAAAGCAGTTACAAACAGTTGCATTGTATGTGTGTGATTTCTGAGTGATTGCTAAAATAGTAGTAGTGTCGTTTGCTTTGAATATGTGTACATGTGAATAACCGCCGGCGTAAGCAAATCGACCAATCACATTGCAGTAATGCGAGTCATCTCATTACTGCTCACTGTGATTGGTCGATTTGCTTATGCCTTACGGTTACGATTAAAACTTTTTTACGTGTGTTGGTCTTTATGTGCGGACAAAGTGCGACATTTTGTTTCGCGTTTGCATTTCGTGTATCGCGGTGTCGCAAATTCGCATCGTAAATCCGTGATTTTTTTGAAAGTATGGATTGATTTTTGTTCGATAGTACGTGTTTTCAAAAGACACAGCATTTTTGAAATCCATAATTGCGGAAAATGATGACAATAATTGGATCTATTATGTGCATGGATTCGTTATATTGGGTATGTAATAACTATAATACACACAAAATTCGTTTTGCATTTATGTTTTCTGTATTATTCTGTAGCAAATTCACGAATTCGTAAACTTTGCATAAATAAAATATGCAAATAAACTTTTGTTTGGTGTGCAGGTACAAAATTTGTACTTATTAAATATTAAAATTTTTAAATAATTATTTACGCAGTTTATGATATATAATTAAGTTTTATAATAAGTAAGTTATATTATGTAACTAAAAATTATAAATATTTTTTAGGCACTGCTATAGCAATGTATCTAACCAGACGGAATCTAGCTGCGTAGTAATATATACAGCAATCGGTGAGTGAATTCATTCATTATATTGTGTATAATTATATAAAATACTAATATTATTAGCCACTTTTTTAATTGTTTAAATCTTTAGAATATGATTGCGTAGAACCGCGTTTTGATAATCACATTTTTTGTGCAATTTGCAATTTTACAAATAAATACTAACATAAATAATTATTTTTTGTTTCAATATTTTATTAATAAAAAAATTTTAATTTTGCACAAATAATGTATACAATTAATTGATTTTAAATTGTAAAATTATAAAATTTTGGAAATATAAATTATGTAAACATATATTACAAATAGAAAAGAATATTTTAATGCAACATAAATTATAAAATATTAGGTTTGAAAAACAAAATTCTGAAATATAAATTTTGAGATTATGACATTTGATATAATTTTAACATACATATATTTTTTATTTAATTAAAAAGTTTATTTGTTTAGTATTTTTGCATAACAATTGGTAAAGTACTACTTTGAATGCGCAGTTTGTTGGTGCGATGAAAAAGCTATGGATATTGATATAATTGCTCTTATTGCAGTAATTGATATAATCGAATTGTTTTTATAGTTTTTATTGAATGGTTCTTTTTTTCTGGATGAATATCGCAAAATTTAAAAGCTTTCTAAATATGGCATGCTTTGTTAAAAGAGCCATTTCTATATTCAATGGTCAGAAAAGTATTATACATATTTTTTTCCATTGCAATTTCGTTATAATCTTTATATAGTTAATTGATCTATCTATATATTATTCTATCTTTAGTTAACGTGTGTGAAGTTAGCATATTATATTTTGACATCGCATGAAAAAACGTTCTGCTCGCATACACTATAGTTCTACAGTTTTAGATAGTTTTTAACAATAGTTCTATCGAATTACGCCAAAAAAACAAAAAATAAAATTTCAAGAAATGAGATGCTAACTTCCCGTCTCACCTTCCAGCATCTCACCGGATTTCGAACGTATGAGCCATAAAGTACGAGTATTCAAAGAGTTCTACCGTTTCAACCCATCATATCAATAGTTCTGGTCATAAGAACAATAAAAAAAAATTCTAGTCATTATTAAAAGCATTTCACGCGCTGAAATGTAATATGCTAGCGTCACTAGCAATAGTTCTGGATTTGTACGAGCATAGAATCATAGTTCCCAGTCTCTAGTATCATTTACATTACAGTTCTATTTAGAAACAATCATTTAACTATTTGTTTATAATTATTATTTCCGCCAAAAGTGCCTAAATATGATATGCTAGCGTCACTAGCGATAGTTCTGGGTTTGTACGAGCATAGAATCATAGTTCCCAGTCCCTAGTATTATTTACATTACAGTTCTATTTAGAAACAATTATTTAAATATTTGTCTATAATTATTATGCCCGCCAAAAGTGCCTAAATATGATATGCTAGCGTCACTAGCGATAGTTCTGAGTTTGTACGAGCATAGAATCATAGTTCCCAGTTCCTAGTATCATTTACATTATGTTCTATTCAGAAACAATTATTTAAATATTTGTTTATAATTATTATGACCCGCTAAAAGTGCCTAAATATGATATGTTGGCGTCACTAGCCATAGTTCTGGGTTTGTACGAGCATAGAATCATAGGGCGGTATTCATAGTCCGTTCTTATAATCAAGATCGTCTTAAGCACGAACTTATATTCACTCTCTTCGTCAGACACAATCTATGTGTGACGAAGAGAGCGAATATAAGTCCGTGCTTAAGACAATCTTAAATATAAGAACGGACTATGAATACCGGCCATAGTTCCCAGTCCCTAGTATCATTTACATTATTACTAGTGACGCTAGCATATTACATTTCAGTGCGTGAAGTGCTTTTAATAATGACTAGAATTTTTTTATTGTTCTTATGACCAGAACTATTGATATGATGGGTTGAAACGGTAGAACTCTTGGAATACTTGTACTTTATGGCTCATACGTTCGAAATCCGGTGAGATGCTGGAAGGTGAGACGGGAAGTTAGCATCTCATTTCTTAAAATTTTATTTTTTTGTTTTTTTGGCGTAATTCGATAGAACTATTGTGAAAAACTATCTAGAACTGTAGAACTATAGTGTATGCGAGCAGAACTGTCGTTTTTTCATGCGATGTCAAAATATGATATGCTAACTTCACACACGTCTTTAGTTATTGCTAAAAAAATTTTAATAACTTATAGCTACAGCGCAAAGTGCATTTTATTTTGCATTTGCGTTTCATGTACCGCAAATTTGTGGCGTAAACCCATGATTTCTGATAACACACATATATGCAATTATATATTTATAAAACTGCTTTTGCTTCTGTATAGTTATATTACAATAGTTCTATACATACAATAGTTCTATACATTGCGGAATATATTACTATCCGGGGCGTTGCAATATAGTACGCAATATACGTTTCAGCGT